CTGTCGCCTCTGGCTTGCTTAGTTGGGGACACTTAATTTCCAGCGATATCGTTGACTTGATTGCACAGATACTATTTAAACTGAACTGAGCTGGATGATGACATCACTGAATTCAATGATGAACGGCCTTTAACTGAAATATGAGTGTTTACTATTGTCACTTTGCATTATTGACACATTATTGCAAAATTTCCTAATTAATGCTGTACAGTTGCTTTGACACAATCTGTATTGTTAAAAGCGATATATAAATAAAGGTGACTTGACTTGACAAAATGTTTAGTGCAAATTTAAGCAGTTAAAAAAAATCTAGACCAAGTGATCACTTACTGCTTTTTATTAAATGAACACCCCCTGTATGACAGGCCAAGACTTAGTATGATTCTAGGCTATTGGTCGTATTCCCTAAAGGAATCTATTCCTGATTCCAAGCCTTGAGCTCTACCCCGGGCCCAGGAGTCCTGGCCCTAACAGGTGAGTTTTTGGGGTATGTAGCCTAGGCCTTTGGCCGTAGGGAATAATGTCACTGACAGCCGTCTAACGTCCCAGGGGCAACTCCCATGGCAATATGGTAGAGTTGGTACTTAGTGCTACCCATGGTTTTCTGGCATGCACTTCCCTCAGCATGGTGGCGTGGGTATACCGTTCCCCATAGCGACCCCTAGAGGACGCAGTTCAAAGTTCCCATGAAAGGGAACGTCTCAGGTTACGTATGTAACCATGGTTCCCTGAGTAGGGAACGAGACACTGCAGGACGCAGTGTCTCGTTCCCTACTCAAGGAACCATGGTTACATACGTAACCTGAGACGTTTTATTAACATACATACATAAAACTGATCCGAGATCAGTTAAAACCATAGTAGACAGTTTCATGGGTTCTATTTGAGATCAACACCCACTAGTGGCAACCATCGGAGTTTCGAAACAGTGATGACTAACGAAGCCTCGTTTGCTGAAATCACGTGACTTGCCCAATTTGATACTGCTCTGAACCACTGATTCGAAACAAAAGATTTGTAAAGGTTTCAAAGCTTCATGAAGCAGTGTTTCAAAAGTGGCCATCATTAGTGTTTTCTGCTTATTTGTTGCTTTTGGATTGTCTCATAGTGTTATGACCTTTGCCTGTTACTTCGACTGCGATTGTAGATTGCCCTTTAATAAACTACTGCACTTGGATCCTCAGCCTTCGTGTCCTTCTTCCTAAGTAGATGTAGTCAATATGAATCTCAGTCACTACTTAGCTTGATAGTTAAAGTCTGTATGATGTTGTTGCAGATGAGAGGTAGGTTGAATAAGGTGGGTGAAGTGATAGGGATAATGTGGACCAAAGAAAGTAAATATTACAATCCAGATAAGTAGTCAGGTAAAGTCCATACGCACAGCAGTGAATGACGAGACCAGACATGAGGTGGTGAACTAAATGAGCATTTAACAAGTCCTTAATGAATGTGAACAGGTGCAGCAGGTTAGTATTCAGGTGGAGCTGTAGGACCTGGCGCTGATGTTGTGGCTGACTCTGTGACAACGTCATTGTGCAACATCTCAACATCATTTAACAACTTTTAGCAACAAATCAGCCTGCCTTTTTTTCTGTTTAGTTCCCACTTCCTTTTTCCCCTAGGTTTCTGAGTGTGCTTATTGGTTGCCATAGTTACTGATTTCTTTCACCTGTGTCTCATTTGGTTTCTCATTTAGTTTGTGTATTTATATCCCTTTAGTTCAGTTTTTTGTTGTCTATTCTCATCAGTGTTTTGGTTGGTGGCATTCTCCTGTGTCTCCACCAAATACGTGTATTAGAATGGTTTGCCATCACAGGAATAAACTACATTTTAAAATATATTACAATAGATAATAGTTACTTTAAATTGAAATAATACTTCACACTATTACTGTTTTACTGTATTTTTGAACAAATAAATGCCAACTTGATGAGCATAAGAGACTTTTTAAAAGGTTGTGTACATGACAGAAAAAAATAACATTATCTCCTGCATGTAAAAGACATAAGTCAGTTATAAACAGACCCACACTGAATGTGTTGAAAAATGATACAAAATAAAAAAGAGAGATCAAAATTGAGACGAGAATATGAGGGTGTACTCACACTAGGCGATCTGAACTGTGCCCGAGCACGTTTGACTAGTGTGATTGCTCTGTGCCATCCCTGGCTTGCTTGGAAGAGGTGGGCCAGAGCATGGAACAGCTACTATTTTGTGTGCGCTACTGTCATCATTACGACCGCAAACCTCTTCTATTACTACTACTACAGTACACTTTTTGATTAATTTAATTATAATCGCGCTCAGGCTCGGTTCAAGGAAACTGTGCCTAGTACGAGTACACCCTCAGTGTTTTGACAAGGTCACAGCAGAATTCTTCAACTGAGCAACTGTATGTGTATACACTATCACCTAGTGGCATTAACTGGAGTATAATGGAGTATGCATTGATTTTATGTAGGCTATAATCAACCTATTCAGTTTCTGACAATTATTTGGGCCTTTCTCACTCCTCAGTAATTCCCAGAAAGTGGCATAAGCTACAAAATCGTTAAACTTTACTCCTAAATTCTGCAATCTTGAAAGACTGAAAGACAGCATACCCCTTTGGTATCAAATCACATTTATTTGATTTAATCACAAACAGCTAAAACAACGAATGCTTGGCCTCATAAGGTGAACTGAAAATTCAGTGACAACGGAAAAAAAAAATCATATTTTATTTATTTATTCATTCATTTATTTTTAGCACTTGTAATAGAATAATGAAGGCTTACAATGGGGAGAGTTTAGGGGCAGATGTTCTTCTGCATGGACTGTAAATCATCATGACAGTTTTTCATCTGAGAGTCTGTAAACAGAACTTGTTGAAATTGTTCAAACTCTAACATAGGATGCGATGTCCTTCCCACGGTCTGTTGTATCCAGGGTCAGATCTCTGAGGGACTGAGCCACTCAAGAAAACAGCCATGATAATGACAACCATACAAACATCACACAGTTTGAATTAATTACACTTTATAATGACAGACAGACAGACAGATAGATAGACAGACAGACAGACAGACAGATAGATAGATAGATAGATAGATAGATAGATAGACAGAGAGATAGACAGAGAGACAGACAGATAGATAGATAGATAGATAGATAGATAGACAGACAGACAGACAGACAGACAGACAGACAGACAGATAGATAGATAGATAGATAGATAGACAGACAGAGGAGCGTATGACGAGAGGCGCGCGCTCTCTGGAGGGAGGCTGTTATTCCGCGCGCTTTCTTAAGACTCGCGTGAAGAGAAAGAGCTCGCGCTCCAGTGATGTTGTCTCACGCGGACCCGCTTCACCTGTAGACTGTCTCCGGAGTTCAGGACCGTTTTATTCTGTTTGTCTGAGGTACTGTTGTAATCAAATTTTATATAAATACGCTAAACGTTATAAACTACAAATTCTAGGCTATATAAACTTAAACTTTTCTTTAGGTAGTTGTTTAGAAAGTATTTGTATAATTTACCATTTAAAACTGAATTATTATGGACGTAGAAAAAAATTAAGATACGGCACAATATTTTGCATGTTACTGTAGTTCGATTTATAACAGGAGTACTTTTACCTTCCGAAATTTGCATGAGTTAGACTGAGGTGGTCCTTTTTTTTTTTTTTTACAAATTTTTTTTTTACGTTAATGTGCATTATGTCGCTGTTTGCTGATAATAATCGTTGTAATATGTTTTTCTCGTCTAAGAATATGAAGGCATGACATTTGCAAAGATATACAATGTATTCTTAATCATTGTGTCTTTGCTCGAAATCTAATGTCCGCGTTTCGTAGAGCTTTATGGCACAATACTTTTAAACGGATTATTGTGTCTCTGTCGTGTGTATTGTGTTCTGTCAACGTGACAGGATTGGCAGGACTGAGTTCACTGTGATATTTCAGTTACAGTTTGAGCCGCAACTGCAAAGTTAGTATAATCTTTCCACAGAGCTGTCGCTTATACAGAGACTCAACGGATATAGCCTGAAAATATATAACTGAAAATGCTATTTGGAAAATTGTGGTGTAACTGGGGAGATTGAAAGGGCACTTACACTATGATGGATGGATATGGAAAGGTGAAATTTCTGCAAGCTTGCAACAAATACTAGCCTACATTTTACCATGATATTACTGACCCTTGTGAAAAAGAAGTGTACCTTAAGTGAAGTGTACCATAAAATCTTAAAAGTTTATTTTAAAAAAATGTGCTTGCTGATAATATAATATTAAAGAAATAGAAGGAAACAGTTTCGTGACTGTTTAAGTAGACTTCTAAAAAGTGTGCTTTGCAATAATGTGACATTAAAAGTTTACCTTTAAAGTACATTTTAGGAGTATCATTGTTTTAATAAGTTTTTGCTGTGTTTTAAATACGTACAGAACATATATATATATATATTTGGCAACTTTATTTAAAATGTGTAATGCCAAATATATTGAAATATGTCATACATATTTCATTATAAATGACATTAAAGTATATTTTAGTTTACCATAAATGCAATTAACATCCAGTTAAGTATGAGAAAACATTACATTCAGTTTGCAAATAAGTGTATTCTATTAAAGTATATTATTTCCATAAGTACTGTTTTTAAAAGTATGGAAGTGTACTTATTTTTCCCAAGGGTCATTTTTTAATAGTTACTGTTATAAAGCATCATGTCTATAACATATTCACAAGCAAACTATGAATGTAAAACATGCATGACAGTCAGAAATGCAGTGTGCTTGTTGAACATGGAAAGCAATGTTTTATATACTGTGCAGCTTGTTGTCAACATAACTACATTACTCTTCTTTATTTAGTGAGAAAAAGTTATAATATATTTAGTCTTATAGTATGTCAGTCAGATCATAACTGATTCTGTCCAAATTATTGCAAGTGCTGCTACCTTCAATAAAACCATGCAAAACTATTATGAAAATTAATTTTCACTCAAATTTGGACAAGCTATATGATTTTATCTCACTTTTCAACATAAAACATTTATAGTAATCCAAAAATATATTTATTAAAAACAACAACAACAAAAGATTTTAAAATTCTTGGCATTTCTTAAGAGTATTTCAGACAAAGTCAATGCTATCTTGTGCCTGTGTATTTAATGCTCAAACAATACATTCATATAAGAACAGTATGTTAACTGCAAATAACCAGTTCCTCAGATGGTCTGAAGAGCTGAGCTTTGATTGGGCCACTTAAGGATGTTAACCTAATTCACTGGATGTTTGTGGTCAATGTCTCGTTGGAAAATAGTCTCAATGCTCTTGTGGATACTTTTCCTCTAGGATTTTTCTGTGCTTGGCTTTGTTTCCCCCTCAATCCTTAGGAGTTTTCTAGTTCTTGCTGCAGAAAAGCATGTTGTTTTCACTACAGCTTCAGGTTAGCTTGTTGTGTGCTGTGTCAGATGCATGCCTAGCCTCAGATGTGTTATGCTACATAAATACAGAAATACCGAAGGAGTGGGTGATCTGGATCATTTAGGATTATATGTGCTTTCCGAATCGTAGCTAAAGTGACACAGTCTGATAACTTAGTCTGTCCGATATTATTGAATACCAATCATCTTACTAGCCAAATGAGTTAGATTTAAAGGTTTGTTCGTATTAGCAGCTGTAAGCAAACAAATGGCACCATACATAAGAACTGGCTTAATAATACTTTGAAATAGCAGACGAAGGAGACAAGGCTGAACAGACAAGTGCTGAAGGTTACGGAGAACTATAAGTCTATAAGTATGTTCTATGTTCTAAATATTAATGTTTAGAACTGTGCAAAAAATACAAAAACCATTAGAAACTCATACGAGAGTTCAGCATCACACACACCATGAGATGGGTTAAAAAGAGAGATTAAAAAGAGCCAATTTCTCTCCAAAACGGTGCCAGTTTTTTGTGATAAAGAAATGAGAATCATAAACATGATAATTTATGTTATAACTTAAACATAAATGCACATTGTTCTAGAAGGGGGCATCATCTTTTACACAGCTATATTTACTTAAATTGTTATACTGGTAATACAATTTGTAAGGAAATATTGCATTAAATAGGGAAGTATTTCTGGAGAAACTTTTTTTTTTAAAGAAAACACACACACACACACACACACTGCTCTATCAGCATCAAAAAGGGGCGTGTCCATAAGGGTGGCACGGGGTGGAAACTGCCACCCAAAAAATGAGCTTTGCCACCCCAAAGCAGAGTAATGGGTTCAGAGTGCAATGAGAGTGGAGTGAGGAGAGGAGCAGCGTGATTTTGACTAAAGCGAGGAGAACGTACAGATCATGCACACACAGAAACAAAAACGTATTATTGTCAATGCTGTCCTGTGAGTTATCAATAAAGTTGCTTAGAAACAGAAAAGTTATAACGAAAATTTTTTTGTGTTTTTAATTAAAACCCACAGCTTCACTATTAGTAGAGAGACGTTGCACAGACGGGCAGAAGCTTCATAAGCAGTCGCGCTCTCACAAATGCCTTCAAATAAATGTAATCTTACTGTGCTTCTATCTGCACTCTAAAAAATGCTGGGTTAAATATAACCCAGTGCTGGGTTTGTCCCTTTTTAACGCAGCGCTGGGTTATATTTAACCCAGCATTTTTTAGAGTGTGTGTCTGATTTAATGACTGATAAAATAACTGATGAAAATATACTGTTATTTTCATCCTTTCAAAAAAAAATTGCGCTGCAAAAAGCAAAAATGACATTTAACTTTTTTATGCTGATAACCTAAGATCTGCTAAGGGCTCTTACGTTCTTAAATTTAGCCTCAATCATTAAGTGAAAATCTTCTTTAATGAAATAAATAATCAAAAGTTTATTGGTTAAAAATGAACAAAGGAGAAAGAAGATTTTGTTTGTTTGTTTAACATTTGTTTAGCATTTTAAATGAGTTCACCCTTCAACATTGTCACAGACACAGTCATATCCTAAACAAAATGAATAGAGGTTCTCTTGATGTTCTGGCGTGCAGAACAGAAAAAGGCAAAAGACTAATAAACAAACAAAAAAGCATTAAACTGAGGACAGCTCAACTAGTCACATTTCGCCCGAAAATCGCCATTTTGAATTCAGAATAGGTCATTTGTGTGATGCATGCATGCATGCAATGAGCTTTTGAAAACTCTTCATACTTCAGTACAAAACAGTGCTGAACTTTGACAAAAAGTGATTTTTTTAAATGCTATATTAGTGATTTTCTAATGTCTAAATATAAATTCAAAAGCAAAACATGAAAATAACTGTATTGGAAACGGCAAATGAACCAATGAGTGATCCTCTGCAGCCATCTACTGGTCATAGTGGTAATATCATGTCATTTTCATTTTATGTTTGTTTTGAACCAGGCAGCAGAAATCTTCCACTTATTGGCACATTTTCTATGAATTATCTACATGAATTAAAAAAAAAAAGATCTTTAAAGTTAAGTTTTACATTTACTGTTCCAATTTTGTGTAAATGATATGTACAAAAATATGCATATTTTTGAGGCAAATAAATAAAAAATACCATAAATCCCTCCAAAACAGCTTAACTCAAATGTGAGCAATATATGGCCATCAGGAGTTAAAGGGGATGTCACATCTTTGTCACTTTTCTCACCCCTGATTGACTTGCAGAAAGTTTTCTGTGATGGTGTTAGAGTACACGAAGGTGACAACACTGATCTTGCATACCCCTCAGCAAAAAAACAATTGCATACCTGGTGGCAAGCCTAGTGCCACCACTCATTCTGCTCTTACTACAGTTGCAGTCACACAGTAAACTTGCTCTCGAGTGTTCACAGACCAGCTTTGACCTTTCTAGTTTGGCGGATGCTTGCGTATAGCGGTTCATAGAAACAGATGCTAATGAGACATGTGTGTTTATATATCTATGATTTCAACGATTCCAACGATATTTTAAGAGGGGCTGTGAACCATAAGAGGAATCTCCAGTCTCTTGTGAATGGGTTCCCGAGAATAATACAGATGCCTGTATGCACATGGAGAAGTGAAGCTTTACTGACTTTTATTTGTCAGAGCTCATAGGGTTAGAAACACCATGCATTGTACCTTGTTTCAGCACACTCCACTGTGCATGCTTGACCTAGAGGTCTTCACGGGTCCACTTGGATCCGAAAACCCGAGGTCCGACCCGAGACCAGAGCGGGTTTGGGTCCAAAATTTCTACGAGTGCCTCGGACATGGGTCGGTTCGGTATTAGTGGTCTCTGCTCTCGGGTAATTTAAAATAAATGTGCTTTTTTTTTCAAATGGACTCGATAAGACCCGAATTCTTTTAAACTATCCCGAATGTGTACTTGCACGTTCGCGTTAAGTGAGGAACGCACATAGAAAAGGAGCATACG